AAAAAAAAAAACGTCTGGCTGCTGTGATTTCAGATCATATACATGAGTTTATTCCAACAAAGTGTTTAAACACGTCTTTTAATCAGTGAATGGCTATAGACAAGTTCTTCTTGTAATGTACTTTTTAGAGTGTTTTTTGGTTGTTTTTAAAGGATGTTTTTTGTAGCCTTTTTTGTAGGGAAGAGCTTATTTTGAGGTCAAAATTGATATAAAAAATTTAACAAAACTCAAATTACTGAAGCTTTTCCACAAGATTTTGGGAATGCTACCCACATAAAACAAGTTTTCAAATGGATCACATATTTCGTATTTTAAGGAAGGCTGTGAAGCCGGCAAAAATAGGCTTAGAGAGAGAAGACCATCAACCTTGACAAATGAAGAAATTGTGGCTGGTGAAAGAAGAGCCTAGAATGACCAATGGGCTAGGTATTGAAGTTCAGCTCTCATGTGGTTTGGTATTTACTATTTTAAGTGAAGATCTCGGCCTCTTCAAGCTTTAGGCTCAAAGGGTGACAAAAGCGCTACTCGAAGATCATCTAGCCTGAAATGCTAATCTTAACAGTTTTTAGAGAAAAGATGAAAGCTATTGAAGATGATTTAGTTAAATGAATGGTAATTGGGAATGAATCTTGGATTCAACCTGGTGGGTCTGGTAGGCCAGTTAAAATCAAGGCAGTTCATCCTTTATTTGAACAAAACATGCAAACAGGTTCTCTCCATAATCTACATGTCTTAGACTCCTTAGGGAGCCCTGTGGGGAAACAAAGATTCAGTACAAGCAAGTGGCTTCCATGGGGATCTACAGGGCCAGTTAAATTCAAAGCAGAGGGGTCACCTCTGAGGGCTGTGAACACTACTTCCTCGAAGGACAACCATGGGGACTTACGGTGAAGTGTTCAGAAAATTGAAAGCTGCATTGATGAGGAAAGGTCAGGAAAGTTGCCCCAAGGACTTCCCCCCCTTAATTACAATGGCCCGATAATTCTTAGAGGCTAGAAAGGATTGTCATGGGGAAAATGTGTTGGGAAACATCACCAATTGACTGTTGCCCATCAGAGCTCTTTTTGTTCTCCACACTTAGGAACATGGTAAAGAAATGCAAGTGGAGTCCCTTGAGGTTGCCAAAATTGCCAGGTTGATGTGGTGTAAATCAGAGAGTACAGAATTCTTCAGGGATGAGTTAAAGAAATGGAAATAGAACCTTCAGAAGTCTTTAAACCTAGATGAAGGATATATCCAGAAAAATTAAGTTTACATTTTTAGATTTTGTTTAATCAAGGTTTTTAGCAATTTTTAAAATTTACCCTTGAATTTTATTGATTTTGTGTTTACTACCCCCCCCCTTTTTTTTTCACGTTTTCTCTGAATTCAAGGCACATTTTACAATCTATGATGTGTGTATTTTAATGAAATCTAGTGGTTGCCAATATCCTAATCACAGGCTTTGATTAAAAAGCAAAACAAAACCCACCACATTTCTGGTTTCATTTTAAAATCAGAACATTTGGCTACCTTGCCCTCATTCCTTCTTGAACCTTTTGCATTTAACACTGGCTCACAAATTTCTCAGGTGATATTTACATCTAGAATGGATTTTGGATCCCTTCCTGGCCTTTGTTTGAGCAACTCTTGGTTAATGTCTTTCTTGTTTATTTTTCTTATCCTCTTTACTTTGAATATTGTTCATTCCATAGTCAGTTTCCCCCAACCCTTAGATGTAAATCTGTATTTTTAACATTTTATTGATACCTAATCTGCATATCATACAATTCAATAATTCAGTTGTTCATTTGTATCAAGAAGAATTGTACAATCACTACCACAATCAATTTTGGAACATTTTCCCACCTTTAAAATGAGTTGTGCAATTACAGTCAGTTATAGTGTTCCCTCCCCACTTCATTGTTTACTCTCCAAAGCCCCTCACCCTCCCAATCTCCCACCACCCCACCACTATATCCCCTATAAATCTTTGCATTAGTTATTATCTCTATGTATCCACTCCTCCATCCTTCACAAAATGGGAACCCCAATAGAAACAATAAAAAAGTCAAAATAAAGTGGTAAGGCTAAAAGAATAATAATATAAACATACATATACAAATAATGAGTAAGAAAGAAAAGACTACCCTCAATATTTAAAAAGCCAGGGAAGAAATTTTTGTCATGGAATACGCAAAGAATACTTCCACCTAGAACAAATTCAGGTTGGGTCAACAGGGAGGTCAGCTGACCAAGTATCAAGTTCAATCCAGCATAATCAATTTTACAGTAATCCCTGTCTGATAGTAAAGCTTTTAGAGACCCTTGCCTGTGGCGTGTGGGGGTCTGCTGTGACTTAGTCTAACTCAGTGGTTCTCAACCTTCCTAATGCCGCGACCCTTTAATACAGTTCCTCATGTTGTGGTGACCCCCAATCATACAATTATTTTCATTGCTACTTCATCACTGTAATTTTGCTACTGTTATGAATCGGGCGACCCCTGTGAAAGGGTCGTTCGATCCCCAAAGGGATCACAACCCACAGTTGAGAACCACTGGTCTAACTAGTGGCTCTGCAGATGGATAGATGTTAGGCTCCCACTGTCTGCCACACCCTTCTATTTGGGTGTCCATAATTTTAGCTCTGATACTTTTCCCTTCATCATATTTGAAATTTGTTATTGTCATCATTGGGTCACACAAGCTGGTGTGCTTCTTCCATGTGAACTTAGTTGACTCCTTTTTTAGAGGGCTGCTTGTTTGAATACAAACCTTTAAGAACCTAGACACTGTTCTGGTTGATATCTGGCCACCATCTACTTTCCTCATCACCCTTTGCGGTAGTGGTTAATTTCTTAATCATTTTCTCATACCCTCCCTTTCATCCCCCTAATTGCAACATTATATTGTTTGTACTCTCCTTTTCCACTGTCAAGCTTCTCTTACTTTCGACTGAAAAGTCTTTGTGGATCCACTGCATTATGGGATGCATTTAAATTGTTAAATTTGAAATTTAAATGGTTTTTCAATCCAAAGGCTTAGTAGCAGGAAGTAACATACTTTAAGTTTTAGTGTAAACTCATGCTTTGTTATAGAGACCTACTGCGATCTCAGTGTACCTGCAATTACTTAGTAAATAGGTAGTAAAGTACTGGAAAGATGTCTCTCGCTAAAACACAAACAAACAAAGTAAATAGTGAAAAGGCTGGAATCTAAAAAGTGTTTTCAACTTTATTCAAAGAATCAAGATTAGTCATATTGGAAACAAGTTAATCATACTAGAAGATAAGAGTTTACAGATCTCTCATAATAGAAAAATTTGCTTTCTTATTAATTGGCAGCAACTGTAATGCTATTTTATTCAGATGAACTAAACAAAGTACTTTGTTTTTCAAAGTTCTGTTTTCCAAAGACTTACTACCTTAGCAAAGTAACATTATTATGAGAAAGTGATTAAGACCGAGAGGGGTTAACTCTTCCCCAGTAATGCACATAGGCTAATTTTTACTATGAGGGCTCATGACCATTAATCCTGAATCAAATGGATTGAAGTCCTGCTGAGACTTCTGGTTGGGGAGCCAAGTGTGGAGCTAGGGAGAGGGAGGGGATGAGGTCTAAATGTGAACTGTGCTGGCCTTCCCTTTGCAGAAAGCAGAAAATGGAGATTTAAATTGGATCATACCAGACCGATTTGTTGCCTTCTGTGGACCTCATACAAGAAACAGACTGGAAAGCGGTATGCCAGAACTTGATGCTGGTACTAGTATGTTTCTGCTGTTGGATATGTCCATCCATCCCCTGCTTGCCTTTGGAAGAAAACAAAAAGTTAAACTAAGCTTTAACCCTTCCTTTTGAACATATCATTTTGCTTGCAACTTTTTTAATCTTGTTTTTTAGTAGAAAATCAAATTGATCATTCAGCATCTAGTTCAGATGCCATTTCTACCCCAATTACAGCTAAAACTTGTATCTGTTGTTTTCTTTCTTCATTTTAAAAGATCTGGTGCATTTCTTTATGTAGGTTACCACCAACATTCTCCTGAAGCTTATATTACGTATTTTAAGAATCACAATGTTACTACCATTATTCGCCTGAATAAAAGGATGTATGATGCCAAGCGCTTTAAGGATGCTGGTTTCGATCACCATGATCTTTTCTTTGCGGATGGCAGCACTCCTACTGATGCTATTGTGAAAGAATTTATGGATATTTGTGAAAGTGCTGAGGGGGCCATCGCAGTGCATTGTAAAGGTATGTGTTTGGAACTGGTTCAAGAATGGCATACATGTCTGAGTATATGGGTCAAAAGATTATGCTCATTAAAATGATATCTCAGAACTCAAAGCTTTTGAAACCATAATTTCTTAGAAAAAGAAACATAATTTGAATGATAATCAATGTAGATAACCCTACAAAGCCTTATTACATTGAAATGTATACATTTATTCACCTGGGTGCATCAGAGAGGAGCCCTGGTAGAGTAGTGGGTTACACATTGGGCTGCCAACCAGATCAGCAATTGGAAATCACCAGCTGCTCTGTGAGAGAAATATAGGATTTCTACACTCGTAAAGAGGTACAGTCTTGGGAACACACATGGGCAGGTCTACCCTGCCCTGTAGGGTCACTATGCATCAGAATCAACTTGAGATGGCAGTGACTTTTTTGAGGGTGTATCAGGAGAACCCTAGTGGTGCCATGGTTAAAAGCTCATGAGGAAATTGAAAGGTTAGTGGTTTGAACCCACTAGCCCCTCTACATGAGAAAGATGTAGCAAAGATTTATGGCCTTAGAAACCCTGTTGTGTAGTTTTACACTATCTTGCATGTTATGGGAGTTGACTTTGTGACAGTGGATGGAGGGTGCATCAGTAAGCTGAACAGTATCCAGGAGTTTGTGGAGCTTGCAGTCTCTCAGGTTCATGTGTTTCCACTGTCTAGTTAAAACTTTGATGAGTGAATGAATGTAAATGAGTACAAGTATGAAGTACTAGAATTTATTCTGTCCTCTTGTTAAGAAAAATCTAAATACCAAAACCAAATTCACTGCCATGATTATGACAGTCGGTTATGACCCACAGTAACTCTATTTAGGCTTTCTGAGACTGAATCTTTACAGGAGCAGACCCAAGCAAACAAACAAATCTCACTGCTCTTGAAGTGACTCATTGTGACATAGGACAGAATAGTAGAATGTCCCCTTTGGGTTTCTGAGACCAAAACTCTTCATGGGTATCGAAAGTTTAATCTTTCTCCCACATTGTCTGGTGGTTTCAAACTGCTGACTTTGTAGTTAGCAGCCCATTGTCTAATCCACAGAGCCACAGAGCTTCTCAAGACAAATTCAACACAGATTGCCTGTTAGACTAAGCAATGAACTTCTTCATTTACAGCTGACCCTCCATCAATAAGCTGTTTTTCATGTCACAGTCTCATTCCCAAATCTCCTGAATTAAAACTGGATTCTAAAATGTCCATTTGGCTTCTATCATTGGGCATATTCTGTGGTTTCAGAAGGACTTTACATAATTTTTTAGAAAAGGGTTATATTCCTCTTTGTTCAGAGACTGAGTTCCTTCCTGTTCCTGCTTTGAGCTTTGCACTGTGGTTTGTAGCTTGCAATGATAATAATCTCTGGTCTCTTTCCTCAAGCAATTTACATTTGGTTGATAAGTCTTTTTTTTTTCTAATCATTTTATTAGGGGCTCATACAACTCTTATCACAATCCATACATACATCAATTGTGTAAAGCGCATCTGTACATTCATTACTCTCATCATTCTCAAAACGTTTCCTCTCCACTTAAGTCCCCTGCATTAGGTCCTCATTTTTCCCCTCCCTCCCCGCTCCCCCTCCCTCACAAGCCCTTGATAATTTATAAATTATTATTTTGTCATATCTTGCCCTGTCCGATGTCTCCCTTCACCCACTTTTCTGTTGTCCATCCCCCAGGGAGGAGGTCGCATATAGTTCCTTGTAACCGGTTCCCTCTTTCCAACCCACTCTCCTTCTACCCTCCCAGTATCGCCACTCACACCACTTGTCCTATAGGGATCATCCGCCCTGGGTTCCCTGTATTTTCAGTTCCTTTCTGTACCAGTGTACATCCTCTGATCTAGCCAGACTTGCAAGGTAGAATTCGTATCATGATAGTGGGAGCGGGGAGGAAACATTTAGGAAATAGAGGAAGTTGTATTTTTCATCGTTGCTACATCGCACTCTGACTGGCTCATCTCCCCAAGACCCCTCTGCAAGGGGATCTTCAGTGGCCTACTAATGGGCTTTGGGTCTCCACTCCGCACTCCCCCCATCATTCACTATGGTAAGATTTTTTTGTTCTGATGATGCGTTATATCTGATCCTTCGACACCTCGTGATTGCATAGGCTGGGGTGCTTCCATGTGGGCTTTGTTGCTTCTGAGCTTGATGGCCGCTTGATTACCATCAAGCCTTTAAGACCCCAGACGCTATACTTTTTGATAGCCGGGCACCATCAGCTTTCTTCGCCACATTTGCTTATGCACCCATTTGTCTTCAGTGATCCGTTCGACACCTCGTGATCACACAGGCTGATATGTTGTTCCATGTGGGCTTTGTTGCTTCTGAGCTAGATGGCTGCTTGTTTACCTTCAAGCTTTTAAGACCCCAGACGCTACATCTTTTGATAGCCGGGCACCATCAGTTTTCTTCACCACATTTACTTATTCACCCACTTTGTCTTCAGTGGTTGTGTCGGGAAGGTGAGCATCATAGAATGCCAGTTTAATAGAAGAAAGTATTCTTGCTTTGAGGGAGTACTTGAGTGGAGGCCCAATGTCCTTTTGATAAATCTTACAATAAAGGTGTGATAGGAGTACCCTGGAATCTCAAATTCAAGAGTGATAAGTTGTACTTGAGCAATCAGAATTGGTTTTCCTAGGTCTGTGGATTTTTTAGATAAACTTTGAAGGAGTGTCATTTCAATAAGCAGAGGACAGAGAAGAGCCTTCTAGGATGAGGCAGTGAAGGATTAGAGTTCCTTAAAAGTAAGTGGTTCTGATAAAATGATTGCTGTATAAATCCCCCACCCCGATCCCCGAGGGGGTCCAACAACAGGAACGTGGGTGAAGGGAGACAGCAGATGGTGTGAAATATGAGAATAATAATAATTTATCAAGGGTTCATGAGGATGGAAGGAAAAAAGAAGAGCTGATTCCAAGGGCTCAATGGCAGTAACTTGTGTTTAAACAAGCTTGGGGACCAGTGCTGAGGGAAGCAAAGTCATGTGGAACCTTTAAAAAAAATCCTCCCTGTCTAACAAAATTCTACAGTATGAGCATATAAAGTAAGGTTTCATTGGCTTGTTGCTTGTCTTAGCGGGTCTTGGACGAACTGGCACTTTGATTGCCTGCTACATCATGAAGCATTACAGGATGTCAGCAGCCGAGGCGATTGCTTGGATCAGAATCTGCCGACCTGGCTCAGTGATTGGACCACAGCAACAGTTTTTGGTGATGTAAGTAGAAAACAGTTTTTGGAATTGCTCAGGGAACAAACAGGTTGGCTATTGAATAGCAGGGAATGTCAACATTTACCTTTAATGGGAAGTTGTTCATTTGTTCCTGAAGAGCCATGTTTTGATATTACTTAAATGTTCTAGGAAAGAAGCAAGCCTTTGGCTGGAAGGTGACTATTTTCATAAAAAGTTAAGAAGTCGAGAGAATGGAAAACACAGGGCAGCTGTCACAAAACTCCTCTTGGGTGTTGATGATATTTCAATAACTGGGGTCAAGAATCAAGATAAGAAAGAGCCTGAACCGGTAATCAAACTATCCACATCTTGCTGTTTTACTTTCTTTCAGTGCTATTAAGAACCCTTTAGGTCATGGAAAAAACAATAGGTAAAATCAATAATCCGCATTTTGAGGGATTATTGTCACATTTAAAAAATATATCTATAGTACTCTGTAAGGAGGCCTTGTAGTGTACTGGGTTATGCATTGGGCTGCTAGCCTAAAGATCAGCAGTTCGAAATCACCAGCTACTCCTTAAGAGAAAGAAGAGGCTTTCTACTCCAGTAAAGAATTACTATCTTGGTGTAAGATATGACAAAATAATAATTTATATATTAAGGGTTCATGAGGGAAGGGGGAGCGGGGAGGGAGGGGCGAAAATGAGGAGCTGATGCCAGGGGCTTACGTGGAGAGCAAATGTTTTGAGAATGATGAGGGTAACGAATGTACAGATGTGCTTTACACAATTGATGTATGCATGGATTGTGATAAGAGTTGTATGAGCCCCCAATAAAATGATGAAAAAGAAAAGAATTACTGTCTTGAAAACTCACACGGGCAGTTCTACTCTGTCCTTTAGGGTTGCTGTGACTCAGAATTAACTCATTGGCATTGAGTTGGGGTTTTTTTTAGTTTGAGCCCTCTAGAAATATTTGACCCCCAAATCATTAAATGGGGTTGCATGTCTATAAAACAAAACTATCTTTAGAAAAGATATGTAACATAAGCTCTTTGAGGTGGACCTAGTTACACCCAGCCGCAAACCCCTGCTCATATAGGGAACCATGGCTCTCAAGTGGAGAAGCAAGGGCTTAGGGGCTGTCAGGCTTATATTGAGTATAGATGAAACAGATTGGGAAATTTTAAAAATAATGTTTTCCAAATTGAAATGCTTTTATGCCTCTTTTGTGTCAGTATACTTAATAATGAGAGAGTGCCATTAGGTTCTGTGGCTATGAAAGGCAACTTTTAGATCTTTGGAATATTGTAAAAGGAAAAAAAATTGGTTCAACAGAAACTTGAAGTGTATATGTAGGGGGGATAGTCTTCATAAAGTTTATGAAAAAAATGTCATTATCTTTTCATTCCATTTTCCCACATATTTTTTGAAGCCCCTTTCTATGTTTATCTGCACTTGCATAAAAGTAGCTCTGATGCTTTACTGCATTAATAGGTGTACAATCATTGACTCAGTATTTTTTTTTTACTTATACAGTATAGTGATGACGACGACATCAATGGAGTGACACAAGGTGACAGGCTTCGAGCCTTGAAAAGCAGAAGACAATTAAAAGCAAATTCAGTTCCCCTCACGTGAGTCTAGTTTCCTTTGTTTGGTTGATGTTATACACTGTGGGCATCTTTCTCTGTTCATTTTTCTCCATCATAATGTACCCATATGTCACTTGAAAACAATTATCAGTGTTATTTAAAATCCAGTGGTGCTTGCCTAAGAAGTTTTTGGCGATCCTTTGTTTATCTGTATCCTCTGTTGCAACTTCATAAGCCTTTAGAGGTAGGAAAACCATATCAGGGATACTCTTTCTCCATGAATAATCTTTAAGTGTCAACTTTGAAGAGAATTATAGCAGATATGAACTCCAGAAAAACAGGTGTGTCCATAGTTATCAAAATTTAAATTAATTAAAACCACTACCATAATTCAGATCATTTATTTTGGTATGATAGAATTTAGTTAGTTGTGACTTAATGATTAACTGGGTATATTATTTTGGTAGAACAATGAACTAGAGTAAATACTATATATTTGTAGTGTATATTCTTATTAGGGAAATATTTCTAAATTACAGGGGAAGACTTACAATGAGAATAGGAGGTTTTATCGTTTACTGAGTGTGTGTGCATTTGTTTGGATTCGGTGTCATGAATTGCTAAAGAGTATTCATAAAGAAGGAGAAGAAAGTGTGGACTACTGTACTTCTTCCTAGACTGTTTCCTAGTAGATGTCTCAATGACATCAGACTCCAAATTTTCAAGTCTTTTTTTTTT